ACTTTGAAAGACAGTCTGGCTGTTTCTTACAAAACTAAACATAGGCTTACCACATTATCCAGCAATCGTATACTTTAGTATCTGCTGAAATAAATGGAAAAGTATGTCCACACAAAAGCACAAAAATATGTACAGCAGCCTTATTTGCAACTGCCAAAACTGGAAAGCAACATAAATACCCTTCAATAGATAAATGAATAAACAAGCTGGTATAGCTATACAATGGAATATGACTCAATGATAAAAGAAATGATCATGGAGAAAATGTCCTGCATATTGCTAAGTGAAAGAAGCCAATCCGACAAGGTTGGATACTACACTATTCCAAATATGTGACATTCTGGAAAAGGCAAAACTATGGAGACAGCAAACAGATCAGTGGTTGCCACAGGTTCAGTAGGGAGGAATGAATACGTGGAGAACAAGAGATTTTTAGAGCAGTATAACTATACTATGTGACCCTGCAATGGTGGTTACATATTATTATACATTTGTCAAAGCCCACATGTATACCTATGTAACAAACCTGCACGTTCTGCACACGTATCCCAGAACTTAAAGTGGAATTAAAAAATCTACAACCTAAAGAGAAAACTCTGATATAAAACTATTCACTTTAATTTGTATCGATATTGGCTCACCAACTTGGTATCAAGATTGGTTCATGGGAACAAATGTACCAATACCCTGCTGCAAGATATTAACAATAGAGATAACCGTGTCTGGGAGGAGGGATGCCAAGGAGTCATGTGAGAATTCTACACTTTCTTCCCAATTACTTCCTAAGCCTAAACCTGCTTATTATAGTGGGATAAAATGTGTTTAATAAAAGCATATTATAGTGGGAATGTGTTTAATAAAGCATATTATAGTGGGAATGTACATGTTTACCAGGTCAGAGTCCTTGCTCTGCTTTTGTAGAGTAATAACTACAGGGAGTAAAAAAGGATCTAATGGCAAAACACAGGTGCCCAGAAATCTCCTCCCAGTACCCAGGAGTGTACAGCATTGCCTGTCAGAATGACCAGAAACGAAAAAGTGAGATAGAAGATTTGGAATTCTTGAGAAAATATATGTCATCACCTCTCTACTTGTTGGGAAAAACAGCAAAGGAGAAAGGACTTACAGAGTGCCTACATGAATTCGTTATGAGTAACATATAAACAAGGAACAACAAACTTCAGAAGGCCACGGGAGGCCTCTGAGGAGGAAGGCTGCTCCATGCCTCATGTTCCAGTGCAGGGTGACCTCGGCTCTGTTACCATTAACATTGTGCTCAAGGATGTAAAACCCCTTGGTAGCACTATGACGTAGCCAGACTTGTAGGCTGCCTGTAAGGTCCGTGTTCCACCAGCTGTACATCTATAATAAGCTAAAGATAATCACATGTTCTTGTTTTGTGAGACTTCTAAACTGCCATTGTTATCAACGACACACCAGTTCCGGCTCACTGATTCACTTCACCATTACTGCACCCTTACCCTATAGATCAAAGTGATTGTAATCAATAAATAGTGTGGATGATCAGAGCTCGGGACCTTCACTGCTTCCACCAGAGTAATAAAGTGATGGCCCCCTGGTCCCACTTTTTCTCTTAATCTCTCTTTCTCTCATTCCTTTGTTGCCAGCGAACTCAGGGTACCCACAGGTGATAATGAGCTGGCTCCCCACATTCTGGTGCCCAGTGTGGGGCTCAGGAATCCCTACATTCTGGAACACCAATATGTGGGGCTCATGGATGCCCTACATCTGCTCAAGAGCAACAAGTCAAATTTTACAGTGCTGGATTTGATAGCAGTGATATTTTTGTGATGCTTTGTAATTTTCAACATACTTTCACTTATGTGGTCCCTGAGCGTAGATACTGTTTGGCTGGCTCTTTGCTGCTGACCACGTTCAGTACTTCCCATGTACTTTGCAGCTTTTTCATTTATGGCATTGCAGTGTATCCTTGTGCCCTTACCTCTCCCCTTACTCAGGATCAGATGTCCCCTTGAAAATAGAGGCCGTGAGGCTTAATAGTGAGTGTCCATTAACTCACAGGTAACTTAAGGTGACAGCTATGTCCCTGATACTTAAAAAAAAAATACAAGGAGCATACAAAGTGTCTGAACCATATCTATTATTATAATAATATATATTTTCCTAAGACTTATAATGTAAAGTCATAATACTGGAAAAATAAGTAAAGTTTGGATTTTAAATGTGAATTTGAGTTTAAAATAATAAAGGAAAATTACCAAATATCAGGCTTGGAAACGTCTTATATTATAGAGGGGGCTCATTCCATCATCTCCTTTTGTAGATGTAGAAATTAAGATGTTGAAAGAGTAAGTGACATGTGAGATCACAGAACTTTAGCAATAATGGGCACCTTAAACCTCATATGGTCCAAATACTCAGGTGCTTAGTGCCACCCAGCCTATATTGTAACATCTTCTGTGATAAGGATTTCGCTACTTTATAAAATATCACATTTATTCTTTTACTTTTTACTCATATGTAATAAAGCTTTCTTTTTGTTGTTATTGTTATTGGTTTGGATTTTTTTTTTTTTTTTTTTGAGATGGAGTTTCCCTCTTGTCACCCAGGCTGGAGTGCAATGGCACAATCTCAGCTCACTGCAACCTCTGCCTCCAAGGTTCAAGTGATTCTCCTTCCTCAGCCTCCTGAGTAGCTGGGGTTACAGGTGTACACCACCACATTCGGCTATTATTTGTATTTTTTGTGGATATGGGGTTTCACCACATTGGCCAGGTTGGCCTCAAACTCCTGATCTCAGGTGATCCACCTGCCTCAGCCTCCCAAAATGTTGGGTTTACAGGCATGAGCCACCACATCTGGACATCAAGATTTGTATACTTTTACATCAATTATTTGGTTCTAGTTATATCCTTTGTTTATACATATTACGTCTAGTCCAGAGTGTATCAGAGAAGCAGCAGGAGACAAAGAAATTATGGGGAAAGAATGAAGTAGGAGGACTGTTTAGCCCAGAAGTTTTATTCTTCAAGGGTCACAAATTTAGACTTTCACACTACATAAAATTATACACACACTCACACACGAAATATATATATATATAAATATATATATGTATACTATATATATACACATACATATATTAAGTATGCCATATAAATACACACATTATGTATGTATATATTAAACAGAAAGCTATGTATTTATATGTTGTGTCTCATAGAATTATAAGTTAAATAAAAACTGTTTAAATATGCCATAATCTTTTTCTAAAGTTTTTAGAGATTTAGGAGGTATATGTGCAGGTTTGTTACATGAATATATTATATAATGGTGAAGTTTGGGCTTCTAGCGTACCCATCACCCAAATAGTGAACAGTATACCCAATATGTAACTTTTCAACTCTCCCTTTTTTGCAGTCCCAGTGTTTATTTCTCTCTGTATGTCCATGCGCATCTATCATTTATCTCCTAATTATATATGAGCACATGTGGCATCTGATTTTCTGTTTCTGAGTTATTTCACTCAGGATCATGACCTCCAGCTCTATCCCTGTTGCCAAGAAGGACATGCTTTCATTCCTTTTGATGACTGCTTAGTATAGAATACTGAGAATAGAGTACATGTACCATATTTTTAATCCAGTCATGTTGATGGACACTCAGGTTGATTCTATGACTTTGCCATTGTGAACAGTACTGTGATAAACATGAATGCAAGTATCTTTTTGATATAAAAAATTGTTTTCATTTGGGTAGATACCCAGCAATTAACTTTCTGAGTCAAAGGATAATTCTATTTTTAGTTGTTTGGGAATCTCCATACTGTTTTCCAAGTACACAGAAAGGCTATACTAATTTACATTTCAACAAACAGTGTATAAGCATTTTTCTGTGCATTCTTGCCATCCCTTATTTTTTGACTTTCTTATAATAGCCTTTCGCACGTGTATACCTATGTAACAAACCTGCACATTCTGCACATAGACCCCAGAATTTAAAGTATAAAAATAAATAAATACATGTGCATGTGTCTTTATAGTAGAAGAGGAGCCTCACATACTGGGGCAGTTGTGGGGGATAGGGGAGAGACAGCAGGGGGTGGGTGTGGAGGGAGGGGAAAGTGGGGAGGGATAACATGGGAAGAAATGCCAGATATAGTATGCACCTAAAGTAAAATAAATAAACAAATAAGGCATAGGAAGAAAAAACATCCAAAATTGGATATTGCCATCATTGAATAAAAGATGTTAAGGAAATAAATAAATAAATAAAATAGCCACTCTGACTGGTGTGAGATGGTTTCTCATTGCGGTTTTAATTTGTATTTTTCTGATGACTGATGGGTACCATAATCTTTTAAACTTCATCTTTCTTTGTTTACCCTCTACTATATAAGGAACTTAAAAAACAAAACCATACTGTATTCATATTATCCTTTGAGTCTGTATCTATTCCCCCTTCCATATAATTGTTAAAATGTCTTCAGAAAGCACTCCATGTAACTCTCCAACAAAATAAGCCTAATTCCTCAGTTGTTTCAACATCCATCTGGATCCTGCTTTCCCCTAAATATTAAATTTACTGACTGAACTCCAACATAAAATGTAGTTTCTAGAATTAAACACATTAATCTAGATCAGATCATCATAGGACAAGATGGCATGGTTGTATCTCCCGTTGTATTTCCCAATGTAGTAAAGAAAGTATATTTCTTTCAGTGCAACCTATAATTCCATTTACTTTTTCATTGACCATATAAAATTAGATTCATATTGAAACTGATGTAAGAAAATTCTTAGTCATTTTTTCTTTGCTACTGCTAAGCCAATTTTCCATTATTCTATACCTATGCAGTTTAACTTTTCTCCGGGTGAGGGTGAAGTTCCTTATATGAATAACTGCTTTATAGTTTCTTTTTAAATACTGTTATGTTCATAGAAGGTACATATTCTGAAAGTTACACATAAACATTTAATTTAAGGCAAAGGTATACTTTTTTTAGACATGCATCCTACCTATAAAAACCTGGTGGCACCTGCTGCACCAGAAAGCTTTTCTCCATGTCTTGAAGAATGTCATTCAGCATCCGGATGCGGATGGGTGCTCTCTCCTTGGGATCATTAGCAGGTCGCATCTCATCAGACTGAAAAAGTTCAGCACTCTCCCGCAGGCGTGATGCCATGGCTAACAGTTGATGAGTGTTGGGTTGATCACCTGGCGAAGATAAATGAGCCTATCTCAGAAGAGACATTCTCAAGGGAGTGAAATAAGCATTTTATAATCAGGACTTTAAGTTATAAAGCAGACAGACCACTGAAGAAGGAAAAGGGAATTGTCATTAATAGTTCTCTTCTTTCTGTCACTTGACAAAAGCAAGACTATATGTATTTGAACCTTAACTGTCCAAGGAAAAGATTCGGCACCAAGTACAATTTGAGAATACATTTATTGTTCCCAAAGCATTCTGTCTACGCTTGTTTTATTCTACTAAACTAAGTTTATCACTGCTCATAATAACAACAACAGTAAACACGTAGTTCTGATTGTTGAAGGATCGCTATATTCCAGGTACTATGTCTTCAATATTGACCAAACCTTGTTTGTCACTACATTTCAGAGAATCTGAGAATTAAGTACGGTCAGCAAATTGTCATGGGTTATCAAACAAGTGAACAACAGGACGGAATTAGAAGTTTGATCTTTCTGACTCAAAAAACTATGTTCACCAGAGAGTAAACTGTATTTCAGGGAAGAAAATAAAAATTGAGTTGTTATCTTTTCTCTTGAAAACCTGAGATATGTTACTATATGTTGTCATGTGTCCTTTGGGTTCTTTTTTTCTTTACTAGAAACGTCCTGTCATGTGAGGTTGAAATACATCTTTGACCTAAAAATAACAGTAAACTATTTTATGCAGTGTTTGCATTGGTTTGTTTTACTTTAGAGATTTGTGCTTTTGTTTCCTTTCTAATTGTCAGTATAATTTATTAAAAGTCATTCTGAAAGGAATGGTGATAGCAAAGTTCCACAGGACATTCCTTTGACTAAGAGAAAGGCAGCACTCATGTAGTGGTCCACTGAATTCTGGAGCCAGCCCACTTGAGTTTAAATCCCTGCTCTGCCACTTAGAATCTATGTGATATTGGTAATGTTTTTGCGCTTCAGTGTCCTTATGTACAACGAATGCAATAACAGTACTTGCTTCATAGATTTGTTAGGAGGATTAAATGATCAATACTTGTTCAGTATTTCCCTACAGGTAAGCGGTTCTCAGCTGATGTGATTCAAGAGCTTCTTTAAAACCATTCTCTTATCACATTGTGAGAGGTGCATTCCCTTATCATCTTCTTCCAGATATCTCACCATTAGAATCAGCCTTTAAGTGAGACAACAATTACTGGTATCCTTCTCAGAAAACTAAACACAGCTGACTTCAACAAGGCTGGCACATGACTATAGAGGACCACTTCAAGTCAAGGTAATGAAGGAAGGTACTGCTGGATAATCTAAATTGGCAGTTTTGAAAGGATAACATTGAGACAGGCAGATGGTGTGATGAATGGAGGCCTTCTGAGACCTCCACTAGAAGTCCTGGGCAAAAGGGAACTATCACAAAAAGACTCTCTCTGAGTAAAGTCCATGTTTACCAGTTCCCATAATACTTGGTCCTTATGAAAATGCAGATTCCCAGAACTATTGATTCTTTCTGTAGGCAGAGCCAAGAATCTTCATTTTAATATGCTACTCAGATTATTCTATACATATTTAAGTTTAAAAAAGACTACAGAGAGATGCTAAGCTAAGAAAAGGAAAACTAGATTAGATGTATAACTGATAACATTAAACATGTTTGTCAAAGAATTACCAATCTCTAATATAATGATATTTTTGATTCTTACCTTCTTTTGACCGAGACTGTTTTACACGCAAAATTCTTTAGTGCCCAGCACAGTGCTGACATTCAATAATTGTTTACTAAATAAGCAAAGTAGGTTCAATGAAGTATGTTTAGAAAAAAATCTGATAACAAATAATGGTATGTACAGAGATAAGTAGTTTTAAAAGGGCTACAAAGAGTTTCACAGGTAGGCTCACATGAAATGTTCTTAGAGAACACAGTCATTTTTGCTAATTTTTAATATCCCAAAATCTAGTTTGAAAACGTGGTTGAAGGAGAAATAATTCGTGAAGGTAATATCTAGCTCCCTGTTCACTGAAATTAACAATAAAAATAAAATCAATTGTAGGAGTTCAAAAGATTTTGGCGTTTGATGTTTTCAAAGTGCATTTCACATTCTTTAATTATTTTGTTTGATTTTACAACAAAATGAGGTTGCAAGAATGGGTATTTTAGGCCATTTAGAAAATCTTGCCCCTGAATAACTTACTCAATGCCATTTTATGAAAATAGTTTGTCCTAAATTTTAATGATTGACCAAAGTTAATGTATAGATAACTTGGAGGGAATATCTCTGCACAAGGCAAGAAGAAGATGGCTATGGCACATTTAGATTATGCTAGAAAGACTGAACAACAGTAAAAACAAGTTTGACATCCTTGAGAGTCTTCCATTTAAGAAAGAAGAATCAGTTCTGATCGAACGTACGCTACAGAATTGAACACATTACTACTGATCAAGTGAGACAAATTGTACCATTCTACCTTACTTAGCTTTCAGTGAATTTATCTTTGACGGCTGTATAGATGTAGAGAACTGACAGCTTTAGGAACTGGCTAGCTCAAGAAACAACCCAGACAGTGCATAAGCCACTCACAATACCCCATATGCATCACTTCAAGGGTATGAGGTTACACATTGAAAAGTAGTTCTATTTTCAAAGTTCACTCAATCATTTTGATATATAAATCATGCTCCAAGGATTTCTGTAGCCACTTCTGTGTCAATTAGAGCTTGCTTGTTCTTTTAAATAATACCAGAAAGAAATGTAACCTTTCCCACTTAAGCTTTTGTGACCCCAAGCGATTGATCCTCCATGCTCTTTAGGATCCCTACTAGAATATCAGCTCTGTGAGAGAAGAGGTTTGTGTCTGTTTCAGTGCCATTTCCCTAGCACCTAAAAGTGCAAGTCACACCACTTAATCAATTAAAAGTTAACTTACATACTTTTATCATAGCAGCTGCAATATTTGTATCCTTATCTGCCTCATCTCTCTTCTCTTTCTGACTAGAAAGAACCCTGTATCATCAGCAAATACACTTTATTTCTCTTTGTATCCCCAGATCTTAGCACAATATCTGTTTTATGGTAGTCATTTATGAATAAATTTGTTGAGTGAATGTTGAATTATGAGAGGTCTTTTTTGAAACGTATTATTATATTAAACAATGTCTACAAAATTATTCAGGGAGATGTTTGGTGCTTAATGAGCATCAACAAATGCTATTTATTTTCTTACTAAAAATCCATTATTGTTGTAAAAGAAAAGAAAAATATTTAAAAGAAAAGAGGCTATTGTAGGGTAATAATAAGTTAAATTAAATTAAATTAAAATATGCTCTACAAGAATCCCATAAAAACTAAGATTATATAAAACTTTACTTAAGGTACAGGACAAATTGAGGCTGTTCACAGTTCGGGTTTAGAATATAATAAGCACATTTGAATAAAGGAAATTAACTGGAAATTAGGTATTTCTCACAGAGAGGGTTAATACAATTATTTTTTAAATTACATACATGGAGTTTAAAGACCAAGGACTTGATATCAAAAGATAGATTACAGCCTGGTTTACTTAATTTCTGTCAATGTATTCATGAATAAACTACTTAATACTACAGTCCTTCAGCTTCCTTGGAAAAAATAATCATGTAAGTTTCTAAGTGCATAAGTCACTATATATACAAGTTTGTATTATGAGAATAAACAAACTAAACACAAGTTACTACCAACCCATTTTTTAAAGCAATAGGAAAAATACCGCCACAGTTTTACCAGTTATTTTTTTTCCTCAGAGATATTACTCTTTTTCACTTCTTTGACCTGCACCCCCAACCCAATGTATCATATTCCATATTCCTCCTCATATACACTTTAATAAGGATTTCTAATTTCATTTTGCTGTGCCTGTAAATTTGATGACATTTTTCCCCATGGGCTACTATCTCAAACTTCTGAAGAACAAGGAAAGAAATAATATAAAGGGTCCTTTACAGTGAACTTTAAAAAGTGATTCTTTTAGATCATTGCTCATGGTGAAAAGCTAACCATTAATAAATTTTTATAGTATGGTAGAACATGGTAATTTATTATAAATATTAAAAACCAAGCTTAATATAATATACTAAAGACGGTCTTCTGAAACTATCTTGATATTATTTGAGACAACTGAAATGTACTTATAAATTCCAAACAAAAACAGTTTGCATTTGTTCTTTTTCTCTTCATCCTAAAGTAAAATGCATGTGTTCAGTATGTATTTATTGAGTCCTATTTCGTATATTATTCTGAAAGTATTGAGAAAGAAGCAAATACGTAAGACTAAATCTGTAATCTTAATAAATTCCTGATCTAGTTAGAAATGTACACAATACATCTAAATATACAATAAGTGTCATATGAAATAAATGCTCATGAGGATGACTGAAGAGCTCATTGTGTATAAGAATGCTCTGTTAAGTGTCCAGGGAAGAAGTAAACCTTGAGAGATAGATCGTAAAACTGCCTAAAGTCAAGGACATCTTAAATGAGCTCCTGACAGTTCTGGGACATTCTCTACATTGAATCAGTTGAGGGGAGTGTTCCATTCTCTAACAACATTAATGTCTTTCCATCCACGTCCCTCAGACCTCACTATTCTAGAGGATGAATCTACCTCTAACCCAAATCCTCCCACTTTTCTAGCTTATTATGGAAAGAATGGAGCTGGATATTATAAGAAGCATTCATATTAATTAAAGAGGAAGAAGGAAGGAAGGAGGGAGGCAGGCAGGGAGACAAGAAAAGAGAGAGAAATGTTAGTAGTAGTCAAAATAGATATTGAGATCTAGGCAGGCCATTTCAGGAAAGACCTTCTAAGGCGTTCTGGAGAAAACAAATCCCTTCTACTCAAGGAATCTTCTGCCTTCTAGCCTATCATCATCCTGCAGCATCCTGCACTGGAGACAGTTCATGAGGCAGTGTGGTGTAGCAGATAGGTTGGGGGACTTTGGAAACTGATAGACCTAGATTCAAGCCCCAATTCTACCACTAATT